TGGTTGCTATTTTCTTGTTTGCTGTGCTCCAAAGAGTCTATTTTTTTCTTAACTGCAGGTCACTTCATGGGCAACAACACAGTGATTGATGTTTTGAGAAGAGAAGGGTATGAGGTAGAACATACTCCGTCTGGACAGCCCATCAACAAGTAATATATGCATGTTTTTATTATTCTCGATATGCCCTTGTCATAGATAAATTGTAGGCGATATGCCATTGTCATAGATAAGCTGTAGACGATATGCCCTTGTCATAGATAAGCTGTAGATGTGGAAATGGATAGGCATCATTACGCATAGACTGCTACTCTTCGCTGTTTCCCAGTTCACTTCCTTTGCTCTGTTTATCTTCCGGGAGCTAATTTGGAAACACGGTATGCATGACACTTGCCAGGTTGCTTTTCAACATTGACTTGCATGTATTTTTCCCAGAACTTTTAAAGCCTTCAGTTAGAAGGTGGTTACAAACCGCAAGTTAAGTTTGAGGGTATGTCTACGCTACAGAGTTTTAATTACGTCCCCACTACAATCTTCAATTACGTCCCCACTGCAATCGCGTTCTTTCGAAAGAAAATCGAAAGAACAGATGGGTGTTTCCAGCATTGGTAATCCTCTCTCTACAAAGAAGCAGCCTTTTTCTGGAAGAGCTCTTTCAGAAAAAGGTGTGTGGACAGGGAAGAAGGGTTCTTCTGAAAGAAGAGGAAAAATCACAGGTGCCCTGGTGGCCACTCCATCCATAGTAATCACAGCTTACATGCAAGAGAGCATCCATTCAGTGTAGATGCTACCTTTCGAAAAAGCAGATCGCTTTTTCGATGTGCTTTGGCAGTGTGGACACTCTGTTTCGCAAGAAGTTTTTTTGGAAGATCTCTTCCAGAAAAGCTTCTTCCAAAAGAAGCCTCAGTCTAGACTTAGTCTGAGTGGGCATGCTAGGTTCTTGTAGTGTTGCATACAAGTGCAGGGCTGCTGGCTTCTCTGTTTTACAAGCTTTTTTCCCCTGCCCCCATCCCAGCTAGATACATCTTCCCCTTTTGCCTGGGCTTCTGGGACCCTTTTCTCATTCCTCTCCCCTCGTGTGTTTAACCGATCTCTTCCCCCCTTTGGCTCTTTCCCCTTTGTGAACAAGTGCTGTGTTATATCACAATCATATCCCTTGGTCTCACCTGTGTCATCCCCTCCACTCTCTCTAACACCCCTCCAAAAAAATCCCCCCCAAAACCTCAATTGCTATTTGACTTCTCTGTCCTGACCTTTCCAGCCTGACCTCCAGTCTCTCCACTGGCCTTACCAGAATCCCCCGGGACCCAATTTGTGCTAAGTTGAATTCCTGTTTCCAAGCGGTCTGCTGGGCTTCCAGTACCATTGGTCATTCTCTCTTCCACCATTTTATCCATCTGTTTCGGCTTGGACACTGCTAATCCAGCTCTCTTTGCAGAGCACTCTCCTCATCCCGTCGCAGGGCTCCTCCTCCTGCCTTCGCTCCTACCGACGGACGGGTAGCCTTCACGGTTCTCTCCTTGGTCTCCTGTGGTGCTCTCTGCCTAGGTGAACTCCCAGGGGTTCAGTGACCAGAGAATTACTACATCTAGACAATGCTCAGTCCTGCCATGAGCGCAGGGGGTAGGACCGGGTGACCTCTCGAGATCCCTTCTAGTCTACTGATTCTTCGAACATCCCCTCTGTCTAGCTTTGCATTTCCTGCTGTCTCAGCCGTCTCCTCCTGGACTTCCTGCCAAAATCTCCGTCGCCAAATTCCTACAGCTAAGTCTCAGATTTCTCTGTGCTGCTTCCTTTCTCCCGGCTTGGCTTGCCGCCTTGGGCCATCTTCCATTCCTCCCTCGGTCCTGTTCCACATATGGGGGCTCGCTAAATCCCATGCTCTGTCCTTTCCCTTGTATTCTCACTGCTGAAACCTTTGTTCACATCCTGGTCACCTTTCACCGTGACGACTGTAATATTCCCCTTTTTATCGCCTTTCTCCCAAACTACCTCTTCCTTGATTATTGCAATAGCTCCTTTTCTGAGCACCAAAAACCTCTCCTAAAGGGGTCTCTGGGTCTCTTTGTTGTGTGTTTCCACAATACATGGAGATCCAAGGCACTACAGTAATACAAATACAGGGCTGGCCTTACCATGAGGAGAACTGAGGCGGCCGCCTCAGGTGCCAGACCCAGAGAATTGAGACCTTTCAAAGTTTGGCCCAAGCGAGGGGTCATCATTTGAGCTCCCCGCCTCAGGAGTGAGAATGTTGTGGGCAGCCCTGTACAAATAGTATTAATGAAGTCCCCTTCTTTTCCTCCTGCATTGAGCATGTCCTCTTCCTCCTTGAAATCTTTCACTGGTGTTGACCAATGTCCCCTCAACTTTTTTTTTCTATATGTGCAGAATAAATTTTGTTATGTGCACCAAGGCATGGGCAGATGTGCACCACCTATAGGAACACATGCCACTAGCTGCTACTGGCTGTGGACTGCACTCATCCCCATTGTCTCTGAGCAGGAGTGTGTAGTTCCCTGGGGGGCTGGCAAGGCCTCTGTGCTCATCCGTAAGAGCCAGTCATCATCCAACACTGGAATCACTCCTTTTTTCAATGAAAAAGTCCCTGGTCTTTCCAATTGCCTTATCAGCTTCTGCTCCAGAGAGAGAGAGCTCATGCCATTGAAATCCCACTTCATGGGGCCTCGAGATGGTCCCCTGCTTAATTTCATCCAGCCCCTGGCAAATCTGCGGCCTGTGGGATGGACTCCTGGAGCCTTAGCGCTATCTGGAGGGCTGCAGCTGCCAGCGCCGGCCCACCCCACTGAGGGAGCAGCTAGGGTGCCAGGCGATAAGTGGGCTGTCCTTGCAGTCACCCAGGGCCACTCCGCTCCGAAATTCCATGTGCGCCTGCCCCTGCCCACCAGTGCCACCCCCCACAGTGCCCGATGGCTGGGAACCACGGCTCACAGCTGCTGGCCACATCTGGGAGTGGCATAGGGCCAGGGTAAGGGGGCAGGCTGCCTTGGACCCGCTGTGACACCGACCGGGAGGCACCTGAGGTAAGCGGAGCCCAGCCAGTGCCCGCACTCCACATCTTCCTGAAGAGACTCTGCATGTACAAAGGGGTGACTTGGGAGGGCCAGGGCACAGAGGGCGGGGAAATGATAAGCTTTAAACCAGCAGAACTTCCAGAGGGAAACACTTGCAGAGGTAGGGGGTCAGGAAGCTGCCTAGCATCTCTGGTCCCATGGGGCTGTCCCAAGACCTCTATTCACATGTTCCAAACATTCTTCTTTTCTCCCTCCCCTGCCCCCAGCAGGAAGAATCCAAAAACCTGGTCAACGTTCTCCTCGTCGTCCCCGGCGTACACCCCCTACGCGAGCGCCCAGGAGCTGCCCCGCCCTCCGAAGGAGGAAGAGGAGCTTCTGCCCCACCTGCTGCTGCCCGACAGCGTCGACCTGCTGGAGAAAGCGGACAGGAAATACAAGAAGAAGAAGAGGAAGCAGCAGAAGAAGCAACGGTTCCGGCAGTTTAACGACCTCTGGGTTCGCATTGAAGAAAGGTACCAGCCGGTGGGGCTGAGGAGGTGGGGCACGCTGCCACAGTAAGCCTGGCGGTGTATCGAGGCTGATCAACATAGCCCAGGGGCTGGGTTTTAAACGCTGCTCGCTTCCTCTGGGGCAAAGCTGCAGAGCAGAATGCTGCCTCTTCTCTGCTGCACTTCTTACTTGTGCCTTGAGATGTAATCAGCGGTAAAAAGACTCGAGGCGCCCGACCACGAGGCACGTAAAATCCCGTTTAATCAGTTCAGCGGTTAAACCGGTCAAACAGTATGTTAAACGGGGGTGGGGCCAGGCTGAAACGCTCCCCTGCCAGGCTGGGCCCTCCATGGGCAAGGGCTGCTCCAGCCAGGCTCAAAGTCCCGTAAATGTGTCTTGACATTGGCAGGGGGCTGCTCCAGCCCAGCTGGGCCCACCAGTTAACCATTAACATCCCTACCTAACACCCCATTAGCAGGGCAATTGGTTCTGTCTGCCTAATTGGTTCAGGATGGAAAATAAGGTGGCTGAGGGTGGGGGGAACTAAAGTAGTTTTCCCAGGCAAGAAAGCGGATTCTCTTAGGACAGATACGACGGCACAAACTGTAGCAGCCTTTGAACTGTGTGTCGTTCCTCACGCACCTTCACTGCTCCGCTGTTGTAGTGTCACCTTGCTCCTTCCCAACTGACAAGCTGCAGGCCTGGCTCTCTGTCCCCTTGTGCCAACGTTTACCCTCCTTACACGTGCTCCTGCAAGTCGGGAGCGCCTCATCCCCACTGCGTGTCATTTCGATGACTACCCCCAGGGCAGTACAGTGGAGACTTGGCCCCTACGAATTTTAAACACGTTCCTCCAATCAATTCAGGGGGACTCCCTGAATAAGTATTTCTCCTCAGCCTGAAGGTAGAGAACACTTCAGAGCACCTGCACCGCTTTGATATGCTACACGAATAGATGATTGCTTTTCCATCCCTCTGAACGACGTATTCCTGGGACAGGTGCAGGGGAAAGAGGCCAGGCTATTCTTGTTTGAGTTTAAATGCAGAGACAGTCATTATAGGATTTATTACATCTGGCTGCACAGGTTGCTATAACGTTAGTTTACTGCGCTTCATAAAGTTGATGGGGGTGATAGGTGGTGGCGGCGGGTTTTATTGCTGGAGCTGGTGTCGGCTTGATGTCCGGCAGACCGTTCTACCAGCTAACCAAGAGCCTTTCCCAGTTTAGACCCTGTTCCTTAATACGCCCACCCATATTTAACTTTCTGCGTGAGATTGTTCCCGTTGAAACCGCTCTGGTCCTGCACTCTCAGGACCTGACTGGTGCCAAACTAGAGAATTTTCCAGACCATGGGAGATCAGTATTGTTTAGCAGCATTACCAACACTGCCACTGCTCACTGGGCTCTTAGAAGACATTTAGGGTAAATTAGAGATAAAGAACAGCACAGAACACTGAGAGCCAGGACTGGGGGCTGTAAATAGACTTATAGGACTGCGGGAAACTAGGCCACACCCATGATAAGCGGGCATCCGGCTAGCTACAATCATTCTGGATGACGGACGTTTCTGGACCAGAGAGTTGTGGACTAGAGAGGTTCAACCTGTACTTGTGCACGAAAGCCTACTCGTATGTGTTTGCAGGATGAGAGTCTAAGCATGGGGTCGTTTTTGCAGCACGGGGTAGGCAAGATGGGACAAAGTGTCAGCTGAGCATAAACAGGGTTAAGGACTGTTGCTCTGGTGTCCACTTTGGGAATGCTCTAGTCAGACCCTCAGGGAACACCAAGCTGATGAAGTGCTATCAGCAACCTCCAATATACATGCCTTTTGGACCTCGGAAGTGGCAGAGGCCAATTCTGTCTCTCTCTTGCTCCCTTACAGTTTACTTTCCACCCATAAAATGCATCACTTGAACGGAAACAAGGTCTGATTTTAATACAGGTGGAACCTCTCTAGTCTGGCATTCTCTGGTCCAGAAACATCCATTGTCTGGCATGATTTGAGTTAGCCAGATGGACACTTATCGTGGGTGTGGCCAAGTTTCCCACGGTCCCATAAAGTTTGTTTACAGCCACCAGTCCTGGCTCTCAGTGTTCTGTGCTGTTCTTTAGCTCTAATTTAGCCCTAAATGTCTTCTAAGAGTCCAGTAAGGAGTGGGAGTGTTGGTAACGCTGCTAGACAATATTGACCTTCTGCGGTCTGGAAAATTCTCTTGTTCAGAACTGCTTAGGTCCAGAGGGTGCCAGACTAGAGAGGTTCAACCTGTAGTGACCCTGAAATCAAAGGGAATAAATGACAGGAGGATAAAACTCCCAAATAACTTCTGTAGTAGAGGGGGAAGGGACTAACACAGTGATGTTTATTTCTTCTTGGTTGCCTGTCACATGCCTTCTTGAGAGGCAGAACGATTAGGAAGTCACTGTACATGCAGCATAACAGATGTGGTTGTCACTAAACTGCCCATCAGTGCACTTCAGGTTAGATGCTTTCTAGACCAGTAATACTTAATCATGATCAATCAAGTTGTTAAACAATAATAGAATACCATCCATTTAAATATTTGTGGTTGTTGTCTACATTTTTAAATATATTGATTTCATTTACAACACAGAATATGAAAAGTGTAGTGCTCACTTTATTTTTATTGCAAATATTTGCTCTGCAAAAAACAAAAGCAATGGTCTTTTTCAATTCACCTCAAATAAGTGTTGTAGTGCAAACTCTTTATCATGAAAATTGAACTTACAAATGTAGAATTATGTACAAAACTAGAACAGTATAAAATGGTAGAGCCTACAAGTCCACTCAGTTCTATTTCTTCTTCAGCCAATTGCTCAGACAAATAAATTTGGTTAGGTGTACAGGAGATAATGCTGCCCGCTTCCTGAAAGTGAGAACAAGTATTTGTGTGGCACTGTCGTGGCTGGCATCCAATGATATTTAAGTGTAAGGTGTGTTGAAGAGTCATGTGTCCTTTCATGCTTCAGCCACCATTCCAGAGGATATGCGTCCATGCTGATGGTGGTTTCTGACTGATAAAGGTCCAGAGCAGTGCAATCCAACGCATGTTCATTTTCATCATCTGGGTCAGATGCCACCAGCCAAAGGTTGATTTTCTTTTCTGGTGGTTCAGATTCTGTAGTTTTCACATTTGTGTGTAGCTCTTTTAAGACTTCTGAAAGGTTTTGAAAGGCACTTAGGAATCTTAAATAGTCGAGTGCTATAGCTCTCTTTACAAATCTCACATTGGCACCTTCTTTGCATTTTGTCAAATCTGCTGTGAAAATGTTCTTAAAATGAACAACATGTGCTGGGTCATCGCCCAGGACTGCTATCACATGAAATATATGGCAGAATTCTGTTAAAACAAAGCAGGAGACATGTAATTCTCCCTCAAGGAGTTCAATCACAAATTTAATTACCACATTATTTTTTGAATGAGCATTATCAGCATGGAAGCATGTCTTCTGGAATGGTGGCCAAAGCATGAAGAGATATATGAATGTTTAGCAAATCTGCATGTAAATACCTTCCAATACTGGGTACAAAAGTGCCATGCAAATGTCTATTCTCACTTTCAAGTGTCATTGCCCCCTTCTTATTTACAATGTTACATCTACAGGAGATAACTAAACCAAGCATTTCCCAGCAATTGGCTGAACAAGAAATAAGACTGAGCAGACTTGTAGGCTCCAAAGATTTACATTGTTTTGGTTTGGAGTGTAGTTATGTAACAAAGTCATATATTTGTAAATTACACTTTTACAAAAAAGAGATGCACTGCAGAACTTGAGCTGAATGTTTTTGGTTTATTGTTTTTAGAGTATAAATATTTGCAATCCAAAATAATAATATAAAGTGAGCTCTGTACACCCGGCATTTGAAAAATGTAGAAAAACATCCAAAATATTTAATAAATTTCCATTGGTATTCTGTTGTTTTAACAGCACAGTTAAAACTACAGTGATTCATGATTAATTTTTTTAATTGCAATTTTTTTAGTTAATTGGGTGAGTAAACTCCTTTTAATCAACAGCCCTAATTCTTTCCATTGCGGGATCTCTGCACTGTGTTTGAGTGTGTAGCAAATCGATACTAACTTTATGTCCTAGATATGTTATCTCTGAGCAAGGGACATTTCCTAAAATCGTTGCCTTGTTTGAAAAAGCAAAAGAGCAAACCAACACACCTCTCTTTGAAGGCTTCTGTTGTGTGAACTACGCCACCTACTGGTGCTGATGAATTTCAGTCATTAACATGAGCCTTTCAGACATAAATACTCAGCCCATATCGGAAGTCACAGCCCTTATTTCCGTCTCTGTCAGTGGATAAATCTACTAGGTGTGTTATGCTTTGGTCTGGGTCCTTCGTAACGTAACTCCTATGAGCATGTAAACAAGCAGGGCCTCCCTCGACTGATTTCATACAGTCTTGTAGTGGACTTGGCTGAATTGCTCTGTTCTGTGCTCCTGTGTGCATCCGCTGTCAGCCTTCTTGTTTTGTTGCACTGCCAGCTGGCGTCTGTCCAGATACTGCGGGAGCCTCCTGCGGGGGCTTTTGGATATGGAATGGTAAGTGTTTTCAAAAAGGAGACTAATTGCCTTCAGATTCCCCAAGCATTTTTGCTTAATGTACTTGGCCAGTGTCAAGTAGGAGTAGTGAGCACTGGTGCCAGTGAAAGGAATATGCGTGTACACAGAACATGTGCAGAGGAAATCCAGGTTCGCAATGTGTCTGAGGGAAGAGAAGCCAAAATCACATTGAGTTAAACCTCTCCACTGGCCAAGTTTTTCTGTATCCCAGCTCTGTTTCTCCTCCCAGTTGTCTCATTTTAATATACACTTTAAACTGCGGTGGATCTATCTATGTCACTTATGCTGTGAAAAATTCACAGCCACGAGGGGCAGAGTTAAGGTGACTTAAATCCTGATGTTGTGCTTGCTAGGATTTTGCCAGAATGTATCTTTTAGTTTCCACCTAACAATGTTGGGCCAGGGGATTTGAAGTGTGTTGGCCTGTAGCCTCAGGATCAAATCGGGCTCCAGCCTGTTCTTCAGAGAGAGCAGTGCCCACAGTTCACATCCTTGTCTGAGATGGGCATTTCACGTGAACTTTTGCTTCTCGCCCTCGGAAGCATTTCTAAGCCTGGCTTTTCTGCACTCCCACTGCCCCATGGATGGCCCATGGGCTTTCTCTATCTGCCACTGGTGCTCTTTTATATGGAGCATCGTGTGGATGGAGGATTGGTTCATGCTAACGTGTGGGTGGGGGGGGGGGTGTTTTTAGCATGGGGAAGATGAAGAAAGCAGACCTAGAACAGTATAGGGGGCAGGAGCGGCCTGAGGCCGCTGGCGCCCCAGGTGGAACGCACGATCGGCGCCCCCGCCTGCATGGCCACCAATGGCCGTGACGTCATCAACGGGCACCCGGGTGCCCCGTGATGTCATCATCGGGTGCCCAGGCTGGCGACGCCCTAGGCAACTGCCTAGTCTGCCTAGGCTCACGGGCCGCCCCTGTGTGTGGCGAGGGAGCTGCGTGGCCAAGCCTTCTCTGCTGCAAAGCTCACAACTTCATTCAGGAACTCACAAGGTCTGCGGACAACTCCACACTTTGGGGCCCCCCTGCAGGCCCGTGTGTGCCCACTTGACTCCTGCTTCGTGATGATCGCTGCCCCTTGGGACTAATTGCTGACCAAGCTTCTTCTCTGTTTGCCTTGCAGTACCACTGACCCCCCACCCCGGATCCGCATCATTAACGGCTACATTACAGTGGAACCTCAGCCACGGGGACACGGGCGATCCAGTCACCTCCAAACGGAAACCAGCAGGGCTCAACCACCTGTCCACTTTCTGTTCACCTTGCTCTTGACGCTGGCTGTGCAGACATTAGCAATGCTTCAGTGAAACGGTCGGTGAAGCTGCAAGGTCTTTGGCTAAAAAAACTTGCAGGAGGAAAAAAATAGAAGACCAGAATCTTCCTGTTCTTCAGAATATCTTTAGACTCCTCCTTTTCCTGGCTGTGGCCCACTAACATTATTAACTGACTTGACACGCCCAATCCAGGAGAAGAGATTTTTAATGAAAGCCATTATTTATTCTTCGCTTGCGGAAGAATTATTTGAAGGTATCCCATAATGCTCTTGGGAGATGTACAATGTCGCTGTAACATAGCTGTGGTTTAGCAGTAGGAACCCAACTAAATATATTTTTTTGGCCTTTCTTGCCTTGCCTGGTGCAATAAGTTTTAAATGTTACTAGCTCGTTGGTTACCCTGGCCAGAAGAGAATGTTTTGGTCACATCCGTGCCACTGAGAGAAAGAGGTTGGTATTTGATGTCTGCCTTGTATCGGCTGCTTTGATGACTTGCCATTTGGGGCCGTAAATGATACATTTCAGTTCAGGACAAAAAGGGTCAAAAGCACGTAAGTGGGTTGGGAGGTTTAAGTCCCACTGAAAGTTGCTTTTGACAGTGTTACTCGTGAACAAGGTGGGCTTTCTCTGAACGGAACAGCACTGCACACAGAACATGTGCAGAGGAAATCCAGGTTCACAATGTGTCCGAAGGAAGAGAAGCCACATTGAGTTAAACCCCTTCACTAGCCAAGTTTTTCTGTATCCCAGCTCTGTTTCTCCTCCCATTTGTCTCATTTGAATATACACCTTAAACTGCGGTGGATCTATCTATGTCACTTAGGCTGTGAAAAATTCACACCCATGAGGGGCAGAGTTAAGGGGACTTAAATCCTGATGTAGACACTGCAAGGTTGACAGCCTCTCAAAAGTCCCTTTCCTGTCACTGTAGTAAGTATCTAGGCTATGGAGCTACAAAGGTGTAGCTGCAGCTTTGCTACTGTAGCTCCTGGCGTGTAGTCATAGCCTAGAGTGCCCAGAAATATGAACTTTTAGAGTGTGTCTGGGAGCTCAGGTAAACACGTGACAATGGTGGCACAGACTGTGGCTTGTGCTCACCATCGAGGTGCAAGCCCATCTGAGATATGTGGTACATACGTGGGCAGTTGACCCGCGGATGACTCCCCAAGCCGACACCCTCCAGCACTGTGTAGATGTACCAATCAGCTGAGGTGGTGTGAAGCCCCCAGCCCCCCCCCCCCCCCCCCCCCCCCCCCCCCAGCTGTGAGACAGGGCGAGCATTTCGCAAGCTGGTTGGGGCTGTGAGCTGAACTCCCTAAACTGGCCATTTTCTTTTAACTAAATCCTCAGCTTCCCCCTTCTTCCCCTTGTCTGGTGTGACCTGTACACAGTTTGCAGTGCACAAAACAGCCAGAGCTGGCTTTTCTCCCTGCTGCTCATGGCTCCTAACCCTCTGCCCCTCTCCAGAGCTGTCTCCCAGCCATGTTCACAGGAGTGAAAAGGCCTCAGACATTTCCCCTCTTTTGGGTCACTCACTGGGGAAGCTGAGGTTTGAGCCTCCACTGTGAAGCAGCTTATCATTGCTAATGGTCCATGGCGTGGCTGAAGCAATAAAAACTGTTGGGGCTACATCGCTCCTTTGTTCATGTAATGCGTGCTTTGGGCTCCACGCCTGATTCCACCCAAGGGCAGGATACGGGCCATCCTGGTTTATTTCACCACATGAATTGTTCCTCTGTGTACAGCCTGAGAGAGAATCTCACTGGAAAATAATTGTTTTCGTTCAGTGAGTGTGAAGGCTGGTGTGCGCACCGGGTGTGGATGAGATCATTGGGTCCAGCTGTGCTGTGTCGCTTTTGTTCCCAGGTGCCAGGGCTAGCAATGTTCAGCTGTAGCGTAAGTTCAAACAGCCTTAGGGGCAGCCCAGCAGCCAGCTGTGCTCAGACTAGGCCGTGTGGCAATTTTGTTGGCCGTTGGGGATTGCGTCCCCTGGGCGACACTTTGGGAAGATTGTAGCATCACCGGCAGTCACAGTAGTATTCCCATTCCTTAATAGGAAGCAGATTTAAAACAAACAAAGGAAATACTACTTCGTGCAATGCACTGTGAATCTGTGGAACTCCTCGCCAGAGGATGTCGTGAAGGCCAGGACTTTAACAGGGTTCCAAAAAGAGCTAGATACATTCATGGAGGATAGGCCCATCAATGGCTATTTGCCCAGATAGGTAGAAATGGTGTAACTAGCCTCTGTCAGAAGCTGGGAATAGGCAACAGGGATGGGATCACTCAATGATTATCTGATCTGTTCATTCCTCTGGAGCACCTGACATTGGCCACTGTCGGCAGACAAGATACTGGGCTGGATGGACCTTTGGACTGAGCCATTATAGCCATTCTTATGTTCTGATGTTCTTATACACAACTAACAGATGAGAGGCGAGCCCACAGGACTGCTCTCCATCTCTGTGCAAAACCACCAGCATAGCTTTGGTGGTCTTGGCTCGTTGTCCTGAGGTTTGGTCTGCACTGGGGTGGGAGATCTTCTAGATTCTGGAGTCTCATCTAAGGCCTCCCTTGCCATCTTAGCTGGAATCCCTAGGCTGCTATCTGCAGAGCAGGTTTGTATTTAGTACACCTTTCTTCCTTGCAGATTTGCTGACTAGCTGAATCTGCATTTGGAGTTAATTCTCCCCTCTCCCTTTAATTTCATTGTATCTTTGTACAGCGTCCTAAACATTCTGTATGAAATCTGGTCTCTTTTAAATTGCCCCGACCTCATTGGGGCCAGGATTTTACCCTTTGTCGGAGAGCCTGGTACTTTCCAAGTCATAAATGAAAGAAATAGAAATGGAAGTTCATTCATTGGTGAATTTGCTGGTTTGGCAATATAATTCTGTGTGAATGAGACTACGGCCTCATGGAAGCAGGGGCCCGTCTCTTTGTTTTATTCTGGTGAGTGGCACGTACTTAAAAAATGACACCCAGGGTCAATGTGCAGTTTTCATCCCAGCATTACAATGCCCAGTATGTTTGTGATGCTTGAATAATGAAAAATGACACAATCATGAATATGATCATTTTTAAAAAAAATAACATTTGTACAAAAGCCTGGAAAAATGCAACCTGTCACTTCCCTCCCCTTTTTAAAATCCTTTTTCATAAAATCCTCTACTGCCCTGAATGGCCTGTGTATACCTGGCAGTTTTCACATCCTTATGGAGCGGGCATACATTCCTGGACATCATTTATCTTGAACCTGGTGCATCTTCCAGACAGTCATTTTTTGTTCTTCCTTGGCGTTTTTTGCTGCTGCTTGTGGCTTTTCAATCATTGCCTCTTACTTTGTTTTCTCGTTTATTTCCAGTGTTAACTATTGGGACCTCTTCTGGAGCTTGATGGGAGGCATTACACACACAGCCCAATGTCATTCTTACCCCTTAATGTTATACTCTTGTCTCACACTGCTTCTCTTTAAGTGACAAATACCCACAGAGTAACAAGGGGTGGGGTGGGGAAATCATTGCTAGTTTATTTTCAGCTTCCATCAGAGCACAATCCTCAAGATAAAATTGCTGAAAGGAGCAAAAAGTTGCCCATTCTTCAACCTGGTCCTTAAAAGTTTGTGTGCAAAACCATGCCCATGTTCATGCTAAGAATATGAGCCAAAGTAATGCATGCAGCTGTCTGCCTACCTCTCTATTCCTCAACGCCCTTCTATGATCTCACTTGTTTTGAGTCTCTTGAAGGAGCAGCAGCACAAAAGAACAAATAGAAACAAAGCATTATAAAAGTGGTTTCTCAAGGCTTTTTGAAAGTTTATTAAGCGTTCATTGTTACCATTAATAATGCAAAATTAGACTTCAGAAGATCAGAAAAAAAGAGCGCCAGGCTCACAGAAAGCGAAAGATAAATAGAAATGAAGAAACATAAGCTTTTGTTTCCTCTATTCTTTGTGCTCCGCTTGATAGAACTTGTTCCTTTTGTCGAGTCTACGCTGGAGCTCCGTAGGAGACTGTAGCACTTGTGAATTGACGAAGACGGCCAAGACATTCAAAGAGCTCGATTTCACTTCAAATGCTGGGTTATAGTCCTCTGACTGGTCCCATTTTCTCCCCTGTCGCGTTTAAGCTGCAATTACTCCTCAAGCAAGGTGCACATGCTGGTAGAGTTCACTGGGTTATTATAGGTTCTTTTGATCAGCTATGTAAAATACTGTGACACAGAGTGTGTCGAAATCACACTGAACTCTCCCATTTAGATCGCCGTGGAAAGCCCTTTAGAAGTTAAATTTTTCCAGTATAGTTTGATCTCCACGGGGAAAAAAGGGAGAAAGCCCATCCTTTACACTGGACTGATGTTATCAGAATGAAATGTTTAAACCATTAAACCAACCAAAGAAACAATGAACTTGTTATATTTCTGCTGAAATTGGTTATAACCCTCATGGCGAACTTGTCACCTACTACCACTAGGGTGCAGGTTTTACTCCATAAAGGCCCAAACTTGTAACTCTCTATCTGGTGTGCAGTCTTTCCCCCTGAGACTAGTCCTAGTGAAATGAGACTGCTCCCATGTAGGAAGGGTTGGAAAGTCTGTAAACTTTCCAACCCTAAGGTTGTAAACTATGGGCAGGTTTACACGTAAAATGCTGCGGCACTCCACTTTAGTGAAGATGCTACTATACCGATCGGAGAGCTTCGCCAGTTGATGTCGTTGATTTACCTCCGCAAGAGGCAGTACTTCTGTTCCTTAATGTCAGTGAACAACCAGCCATGAAGGGCTGTTTGGATTAGAACATAAGAATGGCCGTACAGGGTCAGACCAAAGGTCCATCTAGCACAGTAGCCTGTCTGCCGACAGTGGCCAGCACAAGGTGCCCCGGAGGAGGTGGACCAAAGACAATGATCAAGCGATTTGTCTCCTACCATCCTTCTCCAGCCTCTGACAAACAGAGGCCAGGGACACCATTTCTATCCCCTGGCTAATAGCCTTTTATGGACCTAACCTCCAGGAAATTATCTAGTTTCTCTTTAAACTCTGTTATAGTCCTAGCCTTCCCAGCCTCCTCTGGCAAGGAGTTCCACAGGTTGACTACGCGCTGTGTGAAGAAGAACTTTCTTTTATTAGTTTTAACCCTGCTACCCATTAACTTCATTTAGTGTCCTCTAGTTCTTCTATTATGTGAACTAATATGGGAAATAATATGGGAACTATTTTTTATGCACCCTCTCCACACTCATGATTTTATAGACCTCTATCATATCCCCCCTCAGTCTCCTCTTTTCTAAACTGAAAAGTCCCAGTTGCTGTAACTTATCTTCATATGGGATCCGTTCCAAACCCCTAATCATTTTAGTTGCCCTTTTCTGAACCCTTTCCAAGGCCAAAATATCTTTTTTGAAGTGAGGAGACCACATCTGTACACAGTATTCAAGATGTGGGCGTACCATAGTTTTATACAAGGGCCCACATCTTGTATTCCAAGTAATTGTTTGCTTTGGGTGAAAACGCACCATGGGCAACAGCTGTAGGTGCATAAACAGTTCACGGGGAACCCCTGTGTCTGACAGTGCCAAACAATGCCTAGCTCCCTGTGGGCAATTAGGGTGGGGAGCAGTCAGCTAGTCAGGGCCATCTGGATCTTATAGAAGCCTGCAAGGGCTGAGCAGAGCATGTGCTTACTCCGGCTGTGGAGCAGGGAGGATCTGGCTGCCTGGAAAACTACAGAGGGTCCCTCAGACAGACTAGAGATGGGGAAAGGCAGGCAGACCTGGGAAGTTTTGGCCTGACCCAACCCCCAGGCTGCAGGCCTGATAGAGGGCCATGAGGGGAACCAGGGAGGCTGCCAGGGCAGGAACAGGCAGGTTCCCCTGCCCCCTTGCCAAAGATGCGTGACTATTTCATATGGCAGTTTGCCCCGAGGCAGACAACTGGCAGTGGGTCACTGAGGCAAGGCAAGGCTGTGGGCTCCGTGGGGGGGACCCCAGAGTGTGAGGGCACTGCCACAGGGCAGTACTGCAAGGAAAGGGCCCAGTAGGCCAAAAGGGACACAGCCTGAAGTTGCGCAAAAGACAAGTCACTGAGGGCGAGACTGGTGAACAGGGGATGTTCCAGGGCTGACAGAGCTAATGCCCAAGGAGACCAGCAGGAGCTACCGTGCTAGTGAGTTGGCCCTGCTAGTGTGCAGAATGAAAGCCTGGGGCAGGAAAGATACACGTCTACACCCCTGGACTCCTTTTGCTAAGGTCTGACACTTGGCTCAAGTATCAGGGTGTAACATTTGAAATAGGAAGAGTTATTCGGCTTTGGTGTTGGCACTATAGAGCAGGCAATCCAGTAACGAACTGCCAGTCTCTTGTGTGCAGTGCTGAGCTGGACTTCTGGCACAGCTGTAGCCACGGGCACTTCCCACTGAGTCGTACAGTCAGCGTGGAGGTAACAGGAAACCAGCAACTAGTGCTGGTGTCTCAGGATCAATTCTAACAGCTCCCCTGCAGCTGCTCCAGACAACACAGCAGCTGCGGCTTACTGTCTGGGGGCTGCTAATATAACTCCTGAGGCAGCTTCAGGCACAGGTCTCCCTTGGAGGAGCAGTGAGAGGGGGGGCTGGGGTAACAAATGGAGAGATAGCCACAGAATACCTACAACCAGTTCTTTTTTTGTGATGGTAGTGTTTGGAATTTTTTTTTTTTTTTTTTTTGCTCGACAAGTTTGCCCCAGAGTACTGGCACCTTTTTTCTTAGAATAAAAGCACTGTCTACAACAATGTGCTTCTGAAGGGTGTGCGTGGGATGGGGGGTAATTTAATAAACATTCTTTTAGGGTCACTGATAATAACAGAGTGATTCAAACATTGTGTACATCTCCACTAAAACAAATGTTTAACTTAGCTAATGCATGGAGTTTTCCAAGTATGCAGTATCCACACAGTGACACCAGGTGTTGCCCGTGTGCTTTAGCAGCAGAAAGCACATGCTTCTAAAAGGGTTCCAAATGCATTGCATGCTGGCTAGGGTTTGGGGATTAACCTTTAACCTCAGGGCCGCATTATGACTTTCGTGGGCCCTAGGCACTTTTGCCTTCGTGGGCCCCTTCCTCCATAAAAAAAAAAATTAAAAAATGATTTCGGATATAACTTGAAATACTTCAACATTTTATTTTTTTTCTCCTTTAGGCAAAATGTAATAGATTTTCGTGGGCCCTAAAAGTTTCATTTTTTTCTGACGTGAGAAAAAAATTTAAACATTTTCTTCAACCCTAACAGTTCATTTTTTTCCTTCTGATTTTAAAAGACATTAAAACATGTTCGTGGGCCCCTGAAAGTCTTGTGGGCCCTAGGCACTGTGCCTACTGGATAAGTCGGCCCTGCTTAACCTGTATAAAAGGTACGTGGATAAGCTTAGCACTACCACTTCATCACATGCTCCTTGATTGAAATGACAGGAAGTTTCAGCACTCTGCTACTTGCAATGGATTCAGAAGAAGGCTGACCACTAACTAGGCAGGATGTCGCCTCTGATTGCTGTTGAAGGCCGGCTAGATGACTCCCCCACGTGAGTGAAATGTACACTCGTTCAGCGAGCCCACGGCGCATTCCGGACATTTGGGATCACTTCTGTGTGAAGGTGCTTTGGAGCGAAGGAAGCCCCCTGTGCTCTGGATTCCAGCCTGCCCCAGGGGCAAGAGCCTGGCTCCCCACCCCTGACCTGACAAGCAGCTGCTTCCCCGCTCATCTCTCCCCCCAAGTGCCACTGATTTCCTGGGCACCCTCTCCTTTCTGACTATGCCACGTTTGCAGCCATGGCGATGGCTCGGTTGGCCAGGGGCCGGGCATGGGCAGCCCGGGGCGAGCACTTGATGAGGGGCAGGATGCTGGGCGGGCTGGGCTCTGCGCCCACGGACCCGCTGCTCCCCCGCCAGACCGTGAAGTGCACGGGGCAGG